TCCCAGGATCTTACTTTGAGGGTCCTCTGACAGTCAGACTAGTGCTCATGCCCTCTGTGGACGCGCCCTCCAGTTGTCCTGTTAGCACTTCTGTGACGGATGCTTCGACACTTCTAAATTGTTAGAAGGTTCTTCCTTAAGCTGAACTCTTCCCTCCCTGTAATTTTTGCCCACCTGTGCCATTTTGAGTAATGCAGGGTAAGTTCCCTCTTTCACTGTTCCATGACTGTTCTTTAGATGTTAGAAGAATGCTCTCAGGTCCTCACTAAGTAAACTTGTTCCCAAGCTGACATTACTCAGCCCTTTAACTCATCATGATATGATCTGGTTTCTGAAAATCACCATGTTAATTACACTACTCTCAGGGTACTTTGGTATGTGGTTAATTCAGAGTAAAGTGGGAGTGATGAGTGTCTTCATCCAAAGTTATACTTCTGCACCATCTGATTAGAAATGAGCCTAAAGTTTGCTTTTGGTTACTAGTATCTTCATTACATTGTTGTCTCTCATTGGTTTGTGTAACTTAAAATGCCAAGGCTTCCTGTGTGCGTGTGGGTTAGTTATGTGGCTACTATGCTAAGTCCTTGGGTATTACCTTTTAAAATTTTATTCCTGCTATATTTTATCTTTCTGCTTGGAACTCATTATTTTAGCCAATGAAGATAATTTTGAAACTTGATTTTTTTTTAACCTGTTACATTAGCTATCTTTGCCAGCTCTATTTTATATGTAGATTGAGTAAACATATAAATATTTGTAAAAATATTACTGAAAACAGACCAAAGAGAGAGAACCCTAATGGGATAGCAGAAGATATTTCTCAAGTCTACTTCAGATCTCTGATCTACATGGTGCTTCTAGTTTTTCAACCAGCCCTAGATTTGCCTAATTTTGTTATGCAGCCACATTTCTTTGTATTATTCCTAAGGCTATCATGGGAAAGTTTCAGAACTTTCCTGGAATCAAGTTATCCTTCATTTGATATTCTTCAATCTATCAGAATTTGACAGTCAGTTAATTGTAGGAGTAAGGGATAGGAAGGAGTCCAGGGTGGGTGAGCTGCCCGAGATTGGAAGATGAGGCAGTGTTGTGGATGAGAGTGTCATTCTCTGAGATATGGAACCCTGAGGGAAGGACTCGTTTGAGGTGAAGTTCAGCTGGGGTCCTATGGAGCCTGTGGGGCCTCCAAGATGTCCACATGGAGCCATCCAGAGGGTAGCTGACCATCCAGGTCTGGTGCGCGGGGGTTGGTGGGGTCTGGTTGCACACGTCGTAAGCCATGGTGAAGGGGTGAGCAGAGCCTATGGTGTGCAGACTAAGAGGAGCTGCCTTGGGGCAGTAGTGGGGGGGGGGGAGTGGTAGTAAACACTGTCATGTTGCGGGAGTTCATGCCCGATAGCCTTCATTTTTGGTGAAATGGGAAGAAACCTCATCTATTGTAAGAGAGGGAGAGCTGGAGATTTGCGAGCAGGGAGTGTTTGGAATCAACATGGGAAATAGGCAGTGGAGCTTACTAGGGGTGGGAAGAAGGCTAAGCCCGTGTAGAGCATTCTGTCCAGCTTCCCCCTTCCCTGCTGCCTTTAAAGACAACCGCGCAAGACCTTTTCCTCCTCTTTTTAAGGGTTTTTACTACTAATCACTACAGCAGTGGTTCTTATCTGGAAATTGTATCAGAACGTGAAAGGGTGCGGTTTTTGTGTGTACGGAAGTAGGCTTGCTGATTCCAACGTACTTGCTAAGGAATTCCTGGTGTTACGAGGGAATAACGAACATGGGGAAATGAGAGTAACGGTTGCGTTCCAGGTTGGTAGTTCCAGACTCAGCTGGTGGAACTGGGTCTTTTTGGGCTTGGAATCTTGGTTCACCTTGAATGCCTTTGGATTCACTGGTTATGCATCCCCTCTTGGGGTATTTATCCCCCAGAAAGCAGAGAGTGTCCCTGAGCACCTTGAACTTGCCATTTGATGTGGCAGTGATCAGTTTCTTTGCTTCCCTACTGGCCTGTAAGCATGCCCCCCATTTTGTACTCTGAGTCCCAGCACAGTGCCTGGGATGAGGTGGACACGTGACAGGTGGTGGATCAGCTGTTGGCTGAAGTGGAGGCTGAGTCAGCCTGGCTATGTTGTTTCTGGTGGCTCTGCCTCTGGGCGTCCTCCCGCTGGAGAAGGGCTCTCACAGCTGGTGGTTGAGAGGTGTACTTCAAACCTTTTCAGGTTTTTCTCTACTAAGAAAGCAACTTGACTGAAAGTTTACAGAGACTGTCTTGGGGGGAAAAAGTACAAACATCTTTGTATTCAGGAGGCCTCTGGCAGAGCTTTGGTGTGACAATTCTTGTGAATCAGAATGGGCTAATTATATTGTGAAGTTCCCGTCTAGACACTCTGCTTGTAAATTGCCACAGAAATATTTCCCACTTCTGTTCTGGCTGCTCCTTTCTAGGGCAGTATCCCAGCCTTCTGCCAGCTACCAGCCACGCGTAGAGGTATGTGAGCTAGGCCTAATACTTTTCTACTTTTTCTGTATACTCCTCTACTTAATAATCACCAAACTCACAAAGGCCCTTAATCTATGTCAGTGATGAGCATTGTTTGGTTTTATCCATTTTTATAATTTTCTTGCCTGATTCAATGCTAAACAGGGGCAGTTACTTCCTACCAGAAGCCTTGGTTTTCTGGGGAAATTTGTAAAAAATCCCTAGATTAGTCCTTGGTTTGGCATGACTGATGAGGCAAGCAGCTGCTTAATAAGAAGCAAAGCTGGAAGTAGAATAATTTAATTAGCTTCTGTCTGCTGAGCCTTTAATGGAAGCCACAACTTGCCTATATGGAACTTTTTAGTTTTAAAGGGAACGTTTTTGCAAAGTGAGACTCTCAATGGATACCCCAAAGACCGAGTTAACTGAAACTAAGTCAATTGAAAATAGAAAATATCCAGTATAACAAAGATTTGATAAGAACTAGCTTTTTTAAGAATGGGGAATCTCTTAATGGTGAATTGTTCTAGTACTTTTTTAATGTATTGGTTAAATTAATTCACGAAATGCATAATGTTTCATGATACCTACTATGTTTTATAGCATAACTTTTAGCAAACATTCATGAAATAAATGCTTATTATATATGTTGAATTTTTTTCTTTTTTTGAGGAAGATTAGCCCTGAGCTAACATCTGCTGCCAATCCTCCTCTTTTTGCTGAGGAAGACTGGCCCTGAGCTAACATCTGTGCCCATCTTCCTCTATTTTATATGTGGAACGCCTTCCACAGCATGGCTTGCCAAGCAGTGGGTAGGTCTGCACCCTGGCTCAAAACCGGTGAACCCTGGGCTACCGAAGCAGAACGTGTGACCTTAACCACTGCGCCACCAGGCCGGCCCCTGTATGTTGAATTTTAGCAAAAGTAAATGAGTAGCCCATGCCCAGAAGCCCTCCAGGACCAGCAGGGAACATACAGGCTTTTCTTCAGGCCAGACCACCCCCACATTTAAGATTAGACTCTCCGCTCTCTTTTGGTTGCTGGTTTCATTTTCTTCATTTACCTGCCTACCCGGCCTCCAGATCCCTATTTGCTTTAATCTTAGAAAAACATTTTCCCCTTTACATGTCACTTAGCAAATTGTAATGATGTTTAATTTATGTTCAAAACTTACTTTTGTGTATTATTTGGTTAATATTAAACCTAGGCTAAAAGACCACAAATTAAATTTTTTAATACCCAATAAACACATGTTGAATTAAAAAAAAAGTAAATGAGCAATAAAGTTAATGGAATCTTACAGAGAAGAATTGTAATATCAGTATTTTTTCTGAGCGCACATACCAGAACCAAAGAATGAGGAAAGAATTCATTACGGACACATGAATTTTGTCCGAAGGGGCCCTGTGGGAGATTGATTCCTATTATGCTATCCTGGTTGGAAGGGAATCAAGTGGGGTTATTGCTCGTACAGTCAACGACTTGGCTTTTCTCTAGTGAATTGGCTTCAGTAGGTGATTTTATTTCTTCACATTAGGCAGCTGGAAATATGTATTGATTCATTTCCTTTTCATTTGAGGGTCAGCTTTAGCAAGGATGGAGCCATAGAGATGCTGTATTTGCTGGATATGAGCAAATGCTTTAGTGTCTTTTTTTGGTCTGAATGTTCCTAAGATTTTTAGAGCCAAGTAAAGTTCAGCTCAATAAGATAGAAAACTTACTTTCAATGTGTATATATGTATATAACTATTCTTTGTGCTAATTCTATCCTTAAAACCTGAAGATCTTTTATAAAAATCTTATATTTTAGAGATAAAAAGCCGTGGAGAATTTTTGGTCTCAGCATGTGTGTGATTGCAGAATATTTTTTTAAAGTTGAATACTAATTTAGCAATGGTGATATGATTCTTTTCCAAGACAGTATTGTTCTTCATAAGATTTCAATTTTGTTTTAAATGTTGTTTGTCCCATTGTACAATTAATTTTTAATTACATAATTATTTTTTGTTTTGCTGTAATGTTTATTATAGCAAATAATGTTTGCTGTAATGTTAGTTTTATTATGACTTTTGCCTTAGTTGTTTCCTAAAGATTATCTAACCAACTCTCATTTTATAGATGAGAAAATTGAGGCACAGAGATGTCAGGTGATTTGTCCTAAGTTTAATTAAAAATAGTATTACTAAAGGAAAACCTTCAGTTATAGTACTTGAAATTTCCTCTTAATATTAAACTCTAAGACTTAGATTTTGAGTATCACTATGTTAAATTTGTCTCCTGAAATTTATAATATTGAGATCTTTAATAGATTTTTCCCTCTTTTATTTTAAATACAAATATAAGATACACAACAAATAGCTGGTAAAGTCTTAAAATTCTCGTAGTTTCTTTGTATTTATAGATTTGTGCTAAATTAAAATAAATTACTAAAACTACAACTACATGCTCTTTTAAAATTAAAGAAAATTTAATTTAGGTTTATCGTGAGCAATTTAAAGTAATTGATAGTCATCCTTTCTGTTAACAGGTGAAGAAATATGGATACCAACACCAAACTGGTCATCAGCATGACTTTCACGAGCTTTTTCACCTTTCAGCTTCTTTTCCACTTTATAAGTTATTGGTTTTCAGCACATGTTTCTTCAGGTTTTAATAGTCTCAGCTCCGGAAAGAAGATTGAATGGAACTCAAGGTAAAGTATATGAAAATGTAATTGATTAAAAAGAAAGCTAGTTTTATGAAATAAAGTTATTTAGAATGTTTCCAATTCTTTCATTTAGGATCTAACAAAGTCTAAGGTCAAATTTTTTATTTGACCTTAGGAATAAAAGGAAAGACAAGTAGATAGATCTCATACAGGAAAATTTTAAAAATTCTTATATTGAAAGATGTTGGGAAGAATTTACTTAACTTTCTGGGGAAGTATAGGAAGCTTAAGTAGACTCTGGCTGACTGGGGAATAGTAGTGTTTGCATTCTTCTCTGAAATATTCGTGATAACAAGCACATGTTCTTTGGAAGTGATAATGAAGTAAACATTAGTTGGGGCTGTGAGTGGCCTATATATAGTATTGGCCGGCTTAGCCAGAGACAGAGGGCAGTTAAATGCTACACACCAAAGAACCTGGTGTATGGTTAGCACATCTGTGTCTTTTTATTTTATTTCTTTATTTATTTTATTGCAGTAACATTGGTTTATAACATCATATAAATTTCAGGTGTACATCAGTATATATTTCGATCTCTGTGTAGATTACATCATGTTCAACAGCCAAAGACTAGTTACAATCCGTCACCGCACACATGTGCCTTATCACCTCTTTTGCCCTTCTCTCTCCTTGCTTCCCCTCTGGTAACCACCAATCCAATCTCTGTTTCTACGTGTTTGTTTGTCGTTTTTATATTCTGCTTATGAGTGAGATCATATGGTGTTTGACTTTCTCCCTCTGACTTATTTCACTTAGCATAATACCCTCAAGGTCCCTCCATGTTGTCACAAATGGCCAGATTTCATCATTTCTTATGACTGAGTAATATTCTTTTGTGTCTATATACCACATCTCTTTATCCATTCACCCCTTGATGGGCACCTAGGTTGCTTCCAAGTCTTGGCTATTGTGAATAATGCTGCAGTGAACTTAGGGGTGCATGTATCTTTATGCCTTCGTGTTTCATGTTCTTTGGATAAATACCCAGCAGAGTAGCTGGATCATATGGTAGATCTAGTCTTAATTTTTTGAGGAATCTCCATACTGTTTCCCATAGTGGCTGCACCAGTTTGCACTCTGACCATCAGCGTATGAGAGTTCCCTTCTCTCCACATTGTCTCTCATGCTTATTGTTTCCCATCTTCTTAATTCCAGCCATTCTGATGGGAGTGAGGTGATAGCTTATTGTAGTTTTGATTTGCATGTCCCTGATAGTTAATGATGTTGAACATCTTTTCATGTGCCTGTTGACCATCTGTATATCTTCTTTGGAGAAATGTCTGTTGAGATCTTTTGCCTATTTTAAAAGTGGGTGGTTAGTTTTTGTTGTTGTTGAGATGTATGAGTTCTTTGCATATTTTGGATATTAACCCCTTATCAGATATATGGTTTACAAATATCTTCTCCCAATTGTTAGGTTGTCTTTTCATTTTGTTGATGATTTCCTTTGCTGTGGAGAAGCTTTTTAGTTTGATGTAGTCCCATTTGTTTATTTTTTCTGTTGTTTCTCTTGCCCAGTAAGACATGGTACTTGAAAATATGCTGCTAAGACTGATGTCGAAGAGTGTACTGCCTATGTTTTCTTCTAGAGTTTAGTGGTTCCAGGTCTTACATTCAAGTCTTTAATCCATTTTGAATTAATTTTTGTGTATGGTGTAAGGTAGTGGTCTACTTTCATTCTTTTACATGTGGCTGTCCAGTTTTCCCAGCACCATTTGTTGAAGAGACTTTCCTGTCTCCATTGTATGTTTGTGGCTCCCTTGTCAAAAATTAGCTGTCCGTAGATGTGAGGGTTTATTTCTGGGCTCTCGATTCTGCTCCATTGATTTGTGCGTCTGTTTTTGTGTCAGTACCATGCTGTTTGGTAACTATAGTATATTTATACTATAGTATAAATTTATACTATATACATTTATACTACTATAGTATATAGTATATACTATAGTAGTATATTTTGAAATCAGTGAGTGTGATACCACCAGCTCTGTTCTTTTTTCTCAAGATTCCTTTGGCTATTTGGGGTCTTTTATTGTTCCATATAAATTTTAGGATTCTTCTGTTTCTGTGAAAAATGTCATTGGAACTTTGATAGGGATTGCATTGAATCTGTAGATTGCTTTAGGCATTATGGACATTTTAATTATGTTAATTTTTCCAATCCAAGAGCACAGAATATCTTTCCTTTTCTTTGTGTCTTCTTCAACTTCTTTCAACAATGTTTTATAGTTTTCGGTTTACAGATCTTTCACCTCTTTGGTCAAGTTTATTTCTAGATATTTTATTCTTTTTCTTGCACTTGTACATGGGATTGTATTCTTAATTTATCTTTCTGCTATTTCGTTATTAATGTATAGAAATGCAACCGATTTTTGTACATTGATTTTGTATCCTGCAACTTTACCGTATTCATTTATTTTTTCTAAAAGATTTTTAGTGGATTCTTTAGGGTTTTCTATATAAGCAATCATGTCATCTGCAAATAGTGACTGTTGTACTTCTTCTTTTCCAATTTAGATCTCCTTTATTTCTTTTTCTTGCCTGATTGCTCTGGCTAGGACTTCCAATACTATGTTAAGTAAGAGTGGTGAAAGTGGGCATCCTTGTCTGGTTCCCGTTCTTAGCAGGATAGTTTCAGTTTTTCCCCATTGAGAATGATATTAGCTATGGGCTTGTCATATATGGCCTGTATTATGTTGAGGTACTTTCCTTCTATACCTATTTTATTCAGAGTTCTTTTTATCATAAATGGATGCTGGATCTTGTCAAATGCTTTCCCTGCATCTATTGAGATGATCATGTGATTTTTATTCTTCATTTTGTTAATGTGGTGTCTCATGTTGATTGATTTGCAGATGTTGAACCATCCTTGCATCCCTGGAATAAATCCCACTTGATCATGACATATGATCTTTTTAATGTATTGTTGTATTCAATTTGCTAGTATTTTGTTGAGGAATTTTGCATCGATGTTCATCAGTGATATTGGCCTGTAATTTTCTATTTTTGTGTTGTCTTTGTCTGGTTTTGGTATCAGGTTAATGTTGGCTTCATAGAATGAGTTATGAAGTTTGCCCTCCTCTTCCAATTTCTTGGAAGAGTTTGAGAAGGATAGGTATTAACTGTGTCTCTCTTTTAATGAACTTTTCATTATAATTCAGAGCCCTCCAGAATCTATTGTTTTGTTATATAATTCTAAGGTAAAAATTGCTTTTTAGATTTTTTAAACAAAAGATAAATGGAAAATGAATAAGACATCTCAGGATATAGAAATCTGCTGGAGTTTTAATTAGTTGGTTTGCAGAGTTTTTTGGTGTGTAACTCATTAATCTCTCAGAAGGTTTCAAACTCACAGTAACTCTGATGACTACTTCACTTGGTTTAGAGCATTTCACGTGCCCAAACAGCTCTGTGCATTTGCGAACCTCAGTGAATTGGAGCAGCTATGGGAATACTTTTTGTTGTTATTAGCTTGAAGTTAATGCTAACTATAAAATGAATTCAGCAGGTCTCTAAAATTGCTATAATTATTTTTTATTGAAATTTTCTTTTAGAATTAAAGGACTTCTGCCAAAGTCTAAGTATTTATTTGAGAATGGTCATATTTGATCTGAAATGCCCTATGTTTGAGTCAGATTGTTTTGCAGGCATCCACTTTTATAACTCAGACTGTGAATAAGATTTTAGTTGTTTTCTTCTGCACCTTACACTGATTTGTCTGGTTCATACGTGCTACAGCTCTTTTTACCCCAAAAGTGAGAATTATTTCTCCGTGTATTTTTTAAAAATAAGAGGTATAGTTGTCTTAAGAAGAGCACAAAGATATTGTTCAAATGTGGGATATAAAAGATACTAACCGTTATTTTGTAAAACCCTTTCTAACATGAAGATGGATAGAAGAGAGAAGGGAGAGACCAGAGGGTCTCTTCATTTTCTGTGACTGAATCTTGAACTATTTTCTTTTCCTTTTCACCCTGTTAGGGTAGGTAAAGACATTTGAATCTTGGAGAGCTGCAAGCCAAAGAAAGATAGAAGCATAGGTGACAATGAAATGAAATGATAAAATTGAAAAATACTTTGCATTATTCAGTCTGTCACTGCCATTCTACGACGCATGGAACCACCATTTGGGAAACTGAGTTCCCATTTGAATAAGGAGTCTGGGATTATATAAAATGTATTACACTATTCAAATGGTGTTCTCTCTTTTTCTCTCTCTCTCTTGAATTTACTCCTGTTTCCCACTCCACCTTGGTTTACGTGGGACTTAAATTGTGAGGTGGAGAGTGCAAAGAAGGAAAAAAATTGGCTGCTTTTAGAGAAAGTACGCATATATGTCTTGAAATCAGATGTCCAGTCCTGAAACATATCATTACAACACGCAGAATTTTTCATAGTAATCAGGAAAGAGTTTCTGAAGAATGAGTGGTCTAAGCTATCTAGTAGAAAAAGGACAGGAGGGATAAAAACTCACCACAGAATTTTTACCTGAGAGATAAGAGTTTAGTTAATTATAAGTGAGAAATTGCTGTACTTAACTGTTGCTTTTTCTGAAAACACTCATACTTATAGATACCATTTATATTGCATAAGTAAAAAAATGTTCTTGTATCCATTTGTTTTCCTATGATATAGAAAGTCCTACTGTGTTGAAATACTCCTGCTTTTTAAATCTACTTCTCTAAAATTGAACTCTGTCTGAGCTGTATAATTTCTATTGGTAATACTCATGCTACTTGTGAATGATTGTCAGTAACTTTAAATTGCTATTCTAAAATGGTGATTATTTCCTAAAAAAAAAAGCTACCTTTTTATAAGCATAGACATTTCTTTTTAACCCTCTTTGAAAAAAGATTTGAAATATTTTATCTTGGGAACATCTTGATTTTTTTTTTTTTTTAGATACTAAGGAATCAACATTTTGCTTTGCCAGGAATCTGATTTTAAAGAATGAAATGTGAAATTTTTAATAACAGAAGTTTCTGACTGTGTAGACTTTTAATATAGAACAGTATGAAGGCACGGGGTGTTTGCTTCTCCTGTTCATTATAGTGGGAGCTATTTGATACAAGTAAGATTTAACTTTCGTTCATGAATTATATGCTGTTGCCATCAGCTGAGGGCTTATAATTTTTCCCACTTACCATATAACATCTCAACAGAGAAGGAAATTTGAGGCCTGAGTATCAGGAATAAAAAATTAGATTTTTTCCAAGAGGAAACTTTTTGATGTAAGATTACTAAACACTAAAACAGCTTAGTGAGAGGTTATATTTTTTCCTTTCCATAGTTTTTGAATAGCAACAGAAAGCTAGTCATATGGTTATTTAGATCGAGTGTTTTATTTGACATCCAGGAACTTACATTTTTATCCTGCTGTGTTTAAATGAAATACAGGTGGCCTTGGCATGAAAATTCCAGACTTATAAACCAGATAAATTGGATTAATTATTCACACTTGAAAATGATCCTTTGGTATTATGAAGTGTTCTTTGTCAGTGCCTTTAGATTAGTGAGAATCTTTGAGCATTTAAAATATGATTTGATTTAACATGATATATCTATTTAGGACCACATCATCTGTTAAATCCAGTATATTGATTTTTCAATAAGATCTTTTACAAGAAATCTTTTTGTAGATTTTGCAAAGAATCTAAAATCTGTGTGTATTTTCTTTCATTTCAGGGTAGTATCTACATGCCATTCTTTGGTGGTTGGGATTTTTGGCCTGTACATTTTCTTGTTTGATGAGGCCACTATCGCTGATCCACTTTGGTAAGCTGTTTCTTTCCAATGTCATCAATTTGATTTATGTTTTGATATTAATTATTAATGAGAACATCTCTTTAAAAGCTAAAACATATTGATGGTATATGGTTTATTAAAATGCTTATGTTCAGACTTATTTCAGCAAGGTGCATTAAGATGATTTATTTTCATTTGAATACAAATAATGAGGGCCATTTTACCTTAGTATTGCAGTTATTATCCAAAACAGAGAGAATATGATGATGATGTAAACATTTATACCATGTTAACAAAGAAAACCAAGTTATTATAACCACTGTTCAGAGCAAAAGTGAGTTATTACTGAGATAGGAGTCAACTTGGATAATATCTACTTAAGACTTAGTCTTCAAATTTATGTTTGACCCATCATTCCATATCAAAGATATGAAAATGAGAATAATAGGTGTCCATGTGAGAGGAATTTAGTACCACATGACAAGATTTGAAGCACTAATAATAACTGTGTTCAGCAATAATATGGTAATTTGTAAAAGGGTTCTTTTTGAAACATTTAAATGACAGAAATTTTGCAAACTATATTTCCTGGAATTATGTGAAAAGGCTTAGTTCAGCTTAGTTTGAGAGATGAGGTCTGTTTTGAGAAAGCACTACACAGCAATGTGGTAGACATGGGCTCTGGGGGATGTGAGGCCATTTAACCGGGCCTTTTAACCATCTGTTTAACTGCAACGATGTTGTGTTTTGTTCATAAATACGGAATTATGCCCATCAGAATTATCTAGTATTGATAAATTTTCATTGGGAAGATATTTTTCAGAGAGAATCAATTTAGTGAATTTAATTCCTTGACCAAGTTTCTATGTAATCTACCTAAACAATTTCTAGTGTTTTCTTTTCTTTTTAATTTTAATTTTACTAACATGATTGTCAACAGAACCTCTTCTTCTGGGAAGTAAATTTCATAGCAAAGATATGATTCATTGATGAATTTTTATCCATGTCAAACTTTTACCTACTATAATTTTTGATATTTTTGTATTTTCTTTTATGCCATAATTTATTCCAGGTCCAACTCTCCTGGGTCATATTTGCAGATCAAAACTTATAAAGAAGGCATGACTTCTGCTGAATCTTTCCAGTTTAGCTGTTATCAGTTTTATTTTGTGTTTGTTTTATCAGTAGTTCACATTATAAATCAGATAAAGGACTGTTAATTTATATTTGTTTCTTGGAGCAAAGAGCACTAGTCAGCAGAAGAGTATGGGTGAAAACAGGGTGAAACTATCCTGTTCCCACCATTTCCTAATTGTGTGATGAGAGGCAAATCCCTCTAGTCCTCAGTAAAGTGATGAGGATGATAGTATGTGACCTTGAATTCAGAGGTGGGCTAGATGATTTCCTGAGGTGTTTTAATCTCTCATTCACAATAAGTAATCAAAAAAAAAATCAGCATCTAGAATTCCATTTGAATTCTATTGCAAACAAATCGTAAGAGAATACATTTATAAAAAGTTGTCTTTTGGTAAAATTGTTTTCATAAAACTTTTACCTAATATAGGAAAGTAGGATTACTTGTGCAATTAGAATTATTATCATAGCTAACACAGTACCTTGTGCAAATGACAATTTGCCATTTGAGAATCTACAGAAAGCATTTTCATTTATTTAAATCTCACTAGAAAAAAAAGTAGCTGTCATTTAAACCTGTGTGCTGAAAAAAGGAACTTTGTTTTTTGTTTAAAATATTTATAGGGGTGATCCATCGCTTGTGAAAGTGAATATTGCTATTGCTTCAGGCTACCTCATTTCTGGTATGTGATATGTTGTTCACTGTCTGTTTCTTTTTAAACTACTCATGGAATTATGCAAGGAATACATAGTCTTTGCTTTTGGTTTATTTATTTGAGAAGTAGCTGTTAGGACCCATACGAAGGAAGAAATATCTGCTGTAATGGTAGAACCTTCTGAAACGTTTTTCCTGTTGGCTCTCTGGTTCTCGTTGAAGGTCAGAGCTGTAGAGTGGAGCCTCAGGCTTGAACATTTTTTTTGTGAGTGATGGTCCCTTTTTGTCCCAAAGAATCTCTCAGGTGGAATTACTGGGAAGCTAATGAACTTTAAATGTGTTCCCAGGGTCATAGTTTTGTATTGTTTTGGTAAAATTTGCAAAAGTAAGTTGTTTTAGCCATAATCACTTAAGATCATGGACTCTTCCTATCTGCATTTCCCTCTGGCATATTTCCCCTCATGGGGGATGAAGTTGAGATGGCCTTTTATACAAGGATACAAAGGGGAAGTTAAGTTGAGAATATGCCGTTTTAACTGCTTTTTGAAAAGACATTTTGGACTGTCTCAATAAAATGAGAGAAATAACAGATCCTTGATTTGGACATTTATAGAGGGAACCCTATTTTGTAATTTTCAAATTTAATAAATAGCTGAAAGAAAATCCAAATCAAAATAATGGAATAAGAAACAAAAGTGATAAAGATGAGTGATGGGTTCAATAGAAAATTTTCTCCCATCAGTAAGTGGACTGTAAAAAGAAATTAGATTATACCAAAACACAGTGATTCATTAAGAGGAAGAGATAAATTTTGAATAAAATTAATGAATAGGCTATTGGATTATTTGGTCCAATTAAAGAAAGAGAGAATCATGTGAACACCATGGAAAAAGATTTGTGCGTTTGGCACAAAATGCTGTCATTAACAAGGATAACACAAAATTTACAATATACCTCATGCATTGGTTAATGAGTATTGTCAATTCGGAGAGTAGTCACTACCCAGGAAATCTTGTGTGACAGAAACTTAAAGGTTTCCTCAGATTAGATCACAATACAAAACATTTAAAAACAAGAGATATGAACTGAAACAAGCTTTTCTAAATCAAGCTGAACTAAAAATGAATTATTTTTATTGTCTCTGTAGAAAATATTACAAGATCATTTTCATGTAAATTGGTGACCAAAGAGTTCACAGCCAAAATATGTAGGGAAGATGTGGGCAGAGAGGTGTAGCAGGCAGTTAATGACTAATGTTTTCTTTTCTTGATTTTCATATTTGTGGTATTTATTTTCTCTTTAGAATTTGTAATTTGATGGTTTCTTTTCTCTTTATAAATATTCATATCTAATTTTGTATTAGTAATTTTTATTTTCTTAAAAGAAGGTCGCCATATTATATAAGCTCTGACCCCACAAAACCTGAATCCTCCCAGGTCTCCATCTGTGATAGTGATTGGTTTCCGTGTCTAAATTTCATGTTTAACTATTTGGTAAAGAAAATAGCTGTTAACGTTTTGAGAAGTTTCTGTTTTATTAGAGGAAGCTAATTATTTTCCAAATCATGGTGTTTAGATTCAGGATCTTTTAAGAAAATTGATGCCTTGACCCCTTTATTTGTATATCTTTTTTATGGTCATAGTTCTTGGTGGTTTTGCTATTTTGAATTAATATTTAATTGCATCCTTTGTTAATTTTTAAATAATTTTTGTTAAATTTGTATTATAAGTGAGTTGGTCATGTTGTAGCTTTTCTGCCACCATCTTATCTGTTTGAATTATTGTAATGATGAAAATCAGTAATTTTAGCTTATTTTAAAATTATTTTTGTTCAATAATATTTCCATTTTATTTAACCCTGGAAACAAGTTGTTCATTTATACTTTCAACAAATATATCACATACCTATATACCAGGCTCTGTGCTAGACACCCACACTTGGTCATCATCCGGGAGGAGTCACAGTAGAGTGGGGCAGACAGTTATATGGAAGCAGATACCTTACGATAAAGTGGGTGATTGGACTGCTGAGGTATGAACAAAGTTCTGTGGGCTCGAGTGGACTGTGATGAGTTGTCAGGAGAAGGAGTTAAAAACACTTGAAAAACAACGCAGCTTTCTTCCTATAGAATATCTTACCTTATTTTTCCTTCTTACAGATTTGTTGATTCTCATTTTGTATTGGAAAGTGATTGGTGACAAATATTTTGTAATTCACCATTGTGCAGCGCTGTATGCATACTTCTTTATACTGGTGAGTGCCAGGATTTACAATAGCCTAACAAGCAGACAAGAATGGGAATAGTGACTTAAGTGTGAACATAAATCTAAACCTACAATTCTTAGTTTATAAAGGCCAACTCTAGTTGCATTCAGGGATCACTCTGGTGATATCTTCTTTATTAAGAAAAGTAATAACTTTACTTGTGTGCCTGTATTAGTGTGTCTGTCTGGCTTTGTAAACTTTGAGAAAGGCAGGTTGACCCCAATTTCTTGAATTTTCACTTAAAACCTTTAGGATCGTGTAGTATTGTTATTTGTGTCTTTCTAGATGCATTTATGATTTAACAGCCAGCGGTAGGTATAGATTCCTGTATAACCAGCTAAAATCTTTCTTTTCTGTTCAGTTGCATGTGTAATTACATGTACATGCATAATTACATTTAAGTAGGCTGGAGCAGTGAGAGAGTCTTGCTCTGAGACTTCATCAGAATTCCAAGACTCAGCTGATAGAGGATACAGCAAATCTCAGGCAGTAGTGCATATTAAATTTTATATCTAAAATTATTTCTCTACATTATACATCTGTAAATTAGCAACTTTATGTCCTTTGCATATTTGTTAGGTTTCTCCACAATCAGTTATTTTTCAACTTAGATATACCAACAAGCCCAAGATAGATATTTGGAAATAATAGATATATGTAAACTAGAATAGTATACTAGAATAGTATAAATTTTATATGTAAATATTTTCTCTGTATTAAAACTTAAATGTAACCACTGGTTTTTTTTTTCTTATTTGGTATTACTAAAATCCTTGTATTACTGGACATTTGTGAGTATTTTTTGCAGGGCTGTTAAAAATTCATACAAATGTGTATTAATAATATTTTCCTATTTTTCTTTATATTGACCCACACAAAGATAGCTGGTGAATAAGAGGTCAATTTGGCATTATTTCTGCAAGAGTTAGATATATTAATGCATCTCTCTATATCCCTCATTTGAAGTCATAAATATAAATAATTAATACAAATGTTTTAAAAATTTGTGCTGGTTTTAATGTTATAAATAAGTGCTTATGTGTCCCAAAAGGTATCCATAATCACTTAATTTTTCTGAAGCAATAGGCTATTTTTACTGGCATACCTACTGTTTATTTCTGTCCTCTTTTGTAGATTTTAGTAGATTATAGGTAGTTATAAAATATAGACTTCTACCTTTTACAGATCTTGGATATTTGGTATACAAGCACTTTGTTTCCTAAACACTTTCGCTAAGAAGATGTGGAAACTCACTCACAAAATACTGGTTAACTCTGGGGAGAATGCATGTGGGTACTCATGTGAGTTGAATATCATGCTGCAATGTAGAACTGTGTTCTCTGAACATGAGTCAGAATCACTGTGCTGTGAATAGAATATAGGCTGATGAAAGATAGCGGGTCGCTTACATGCATTTGTAAATGTGAATACTGTGAGCTGCTCTCTTGGCCACTGAAATCTCAGGCTTGGCAAGTGGCTGGCTGTGCATGGGTTGGCAAGTTGAAAATTTAATTATGTGGGATGAATACTATTTTTTCTTTGGACTTTTATGCCTTTTAAAAAAATCAATAAAGTGCATTGTGGATTTTTTAAAAAGAAATTAACTCTTGTTTTATTTAGTAAAGTTGATAAGAAAATCAGTTGCAATTTTTCCAAAGATGGTTGCTTTTTTGATATGTCTTCCTATGTTCTGTTGTATGAAATAAAGGAATGATATGAAATAAATTTATCTTTAATTAGTGAATCTATTCATAAGGAAACAAAATAGAAAAAAATTGTATGAAATAATAAATGTTTATAGTTGTAGACGTTCTATGTCATTTACAGATCTTACATTTACTGTTTGTATGAGACTTTTTTTTCCATGCAGTGAATTCCCAGGTCACTTTGTGCATTTTAAGTAAGGATAACAAAATAATAATAATAACAACTCATTATTATCATGCTGTATAAATTTTCATGAAATTCTTATGAGTTTTATAAGAACTGGTATTTGGAAAGCTCTTTGGCTTAATAGTTATGCAACCATTTAAGCTGTTTGTAGTAAGCTTTTTTCTTAAAATATTGTCTAACTGGAACAAAATAAAACTTAAAGTGAAGAAAAGACGTGAGTTACCTGTAGGTTTTAAATGTATACCTACTGAATAGTTGAAAAGTAAGATTCTTTTGAATTTAGGGTATTATAGGTCATATATAGGTTATATAATGTCTTGATCCACTATTGTTTTACCTCTCCCTAATATATTTACTGGAATTTAAAAATTCTCCGGTGGAGTAATCTAGGACTTAGAAGTTCTGTCTTCTGTCTGTGTAGGAGGGTAAGAATCCTGCAGTTTTTTTTCCTGATATTCAGCTTTCACCCCTTCGGCAACAGGATACTAATTATCGTACTAATTATGACAGGCTAATTTCTTACCATAAAGGAAGTGAACACATTCGTGCTTTAATGTCCTATTTTTAAGGGTAAACCCCCATGTTTTGTATTCCCTTTCTGACTTCTTGGGTGACCTTAGTTTTCTTCTGTGTTCCCTGTGAATCAGCTCTTCTCCCCAGTCAAACCACTCCTTTAGAGAGTGAGTTCCAGTACATTTGGAAGAGTAGATACATCCTTTCCCAGCTCCTCTGCGTTATTACACTGCCTTAGAATCTACTCATTAAACCATTCTGCTGCAGTTTAGGGAGAAAATTCCTTTCAGATGCCTCTCGTTGCCTTTATCTCAGGGTATTAAGTGCAGTGTGCCTCCTCGAGGATGAGAATTTCCGTTTTTTTGTTTAATGTTTTACCCCAGTATCTACATTTTAAAAACATTTACAAGCAAATTTGTATGAAGTGGTATTGGAGGGAAAGATTTGTTGTTATGTCAGATACAGTAAAGTTGTAATTTATACCAGGAGATAAGAATTAGAAAACTATTTGTCTTCTGTGTTTCATCTAAGAAAAATTTCCACAGTACCAGGAAACAAAGGCCATGACTCACTAACATTTTATCATTAACACTGTTAAAAAAGAGAAGCTCCTGTTTTAAAATGATTTTAATAGTGTTGCCTATTCTCACCTAAATAATGTATTTCCTCCTTTTCTCCCATTAAGATAGACTTAAAGAAAAATGTTAGATAACTATAGTAGCTGTTGTAGCAACATTTCAAAAGATAAAATGTCAAGAATTAACACTTCTGTTGACTAGGTAGGTATTAAAAATAGCCACCTAATATAGTGTACTATAGCATGATTCAATAGTAAGGTCTGTGTGATTTCTATTCCCCAGTAAATTTACGTACAATGAAACATGTTAAATATTTACATCAAAGAAAAATATTCTAAAAATTTGAATAACATGTTAAATAGTTTTTTTTCCTACTGAAATAAAAGATTGTCAGTTTTCTTATACAGTAATGAGTAATAGGCTGTCAGAAATGTCTTGGAAATTGTTTTGTTAGTATTTCTATAGCTCTGTTATACAAATCTATAAAAAAGCACAATCATACAGTTAGTTTATAACTCTTACTACTAATTGAGGGATTAGCCATGGTAAAAATGTTAAGTGGTCACTTTAAAAAAATATATGTGTCTGTATAAAGATATATATATATGTATATGTATGCTTTTAGTTTTGACATTTGTTTTACTATTTCATTTTTGATACAGAATACCTGATGAGACCATTCCCCATGTTTCACGAACCTAACAAAGCTCCCCTAAGGCCTTCTACTCGGGGGGTTTTGGTTCAGGGGGAGTTCAAGACTAGTTCCTCCTCCTTTGTCCTGTGCTTACTGCTTCATGCTCTTTTGTGGGCAAAGGGCATCCTCTCAGATTCGCGTAGTGAGATGATTTTAGTAGAGGTGTCTCCCTTTCTTTCTCTAAGCTGGCTTGATTTTTGAAACCTATTTTCCTTTCAATACCAGGAAAGAAAACAGTTTATAAATTGGACTTGGTGTATGACGATAAAATAGATGTTAGCCTAGAGAACTGCCGTGTCTACCCTAGTCAATATTTTGTTCTTAGTTTGACTTTTAAAAAAGTGATCTTATTGTATGATTCTCCTTATATGAGGTACTTACTGTCGACGAAAATAATCCATAACCAATCTATAAATGAAAATTTGGATGAGTTTATTCTGAGCTTAAATTTTAGGATTATAACCCGGAAGAGTCTTTCCACAAAGGAACAGAGCACTCCAAAGAAGTGGGGGTACACAGGGTAGTTATATACCCTCAAAGAGGGTGTTTCACATATGATTGAAATGTCCCTCCCACACTAGTCACAAGATTGCCCTGTGCATAGCACTTGATGGACACAGCAGGTAGTGGGTCTGCTGTCTTGCTGGGCGTAGCAGGAGGCAAGTCTGTTGTCTCCAGCTGGGCGGTCACAGGTAAGCGCAGCAATCAGCTTCTAGCCTAAGGAAAGACGCTTAATCCTTAAGGAGACGCCAAGTTGGGAGGGGGAGGGAAGTTGCACCTTTATCTCAAGGGCCTTTTGCTCTTGCCATAGGGAATCTCTAAAGCAGATATACAATGCCTGCTCAGCGGCCTCAGTCAGGCCCTTTTGGAAAGACAAGTTCAGGCCGAATTAGGTTTATACCAAATGGCTTCCTCATATTCTCCAATGTATCCTATTACTTGCCATTTTTATTCGTCATTACAATAGTCAAGATCCTAGAGACAGACAATAGGGTAGTGGTTACTAGGGGCTGGGTGGAGGGGTTATTGGGAAGTTACTGTTTAATGCCTGAGAGTTATAGTTTGGGAATATAAGAAAGTTCTGGAGATGGATTGTGGTGATCGCGCAACAATGTGAAGGTGCTTAATGCCACTGAATTGTACACTAAAAGTGGTTAAAAGGGTAAATTTTATATTATGGATATTTTATCACAATAAAACAAACTTAAAAAGAAAAAAGCAAGTTTATCGAATGACCGAAACAAGGTTAGGAAGGGGAAGCTAATAATATGTTGGATGACGTATCGCATTTTTAAAAGTTTCAGACTGGA